ATGTATGTGTATTTCACTTACACCAGACTGCTGCTGCTATTGGCTGTCCTCAAATGCTCAAACCACTATACTACAAAATACTAGACCATTCTGTTGGTGAGCATAGAGGCATAAAGTGAATCTGAGAGCCTGGAGATCATGTAGTCTTGGTTCAATTTCCAACTAACAGGTTTGAGTAATATATTTATATATCTTAAAAGGCAGCATGATAAAAGGATAAGCTAGAAACTTGGAGGTTTAAGAGTTGGCTGGGAGTCAGGCTCCCTTAACTTCTATCGGCTTCCCAAACCCCAGGTCACCCCAAATAGTAACAAACCATGTAAACATGACGAGCTTTGCATAGCTCATAGCTTTAGGACAAGTACTTAGGCCTCTCACTTCTAATCAGTCCTTTACAGAGGACTGTGTCCACCTACACTGACTGTTAGTGGAGTACCAAGTCAATTCCCAAGATGGTCTCAAGTTAGAGGCATAATTTAATTTATGAACTAATATAGTCATCCCAAACTCAGATCCATTTGAGGTCAAAAGCAGTTTCCCCAGTGTTCAGAAATTCCTCTCTGAACTTCCTGCCACTTTCACCAGCCCCCATTCTTCCTCCTCTCCCTCTATTCTTTTCTATTATCAGGCCTGATATAGGTTGAATTGTGCTCCACCCCTGGAAGTCCTAGTCCTCAGGACCTTGGAATATGACCTTATTGTGAAATAATATCCACTTGGATATAATTAACTAAGATCAAGTCATACTGGAGTAGGATGGGCCAAACATGACTGTGTCCATATAAGAAGACCATGTGAAGACACAGAGACATAAGGAGAAAATGATGTAAAGAAGGAGTGATAAATCAATGACCAAGGAACACCAATGATAGCCACCTATCACTAGAAGCTAGGAAAGGGCGAGACAACAGATTTACCCTCAGAGACTTCAGGAAGAAACAACCCTACCAACACCTTGATTTTAGACATCTAGCTTCTAGAACTATAAGAATACAAATTTCTGTTCTTTTAAGCCACCCAATTTGTAGTACTATATGGCAGTCCGGGAGGTAAATACAAAACTATACAGTCCTTTCTGAGCCTAGACTCCATAGGGAGACTGTATTAGTCCATTTTCTGTTACTATAAAGAAATACCTGAGACTGGGTGCTCATAAAGAGAAGAGGTTTATTTAGCTTATGTTTTAGAAGCTGAAAGTCCAAACAAAATGACACTAGTTCTGGCCCCCTTATTTGCATCACCTTATGGTTGTGGTTGTCACAATGGCAGGACTTCAAGCAAGAAGAAATCACACCACTAGAAAAAGGAGCCAGAGAGCAAGGAATGGCCCATAATGATCTCTTACTAAGCTCTACTTCTTAAAGGTTTACCACCTCAACACCCCCACCCCACACTGAGGACCAAGCTTCCAATACATGAACTCTTGGAGGACAAACCACATCCAAACCATAAATGAGTCACTGAGCAAGGTTTTGACCAGTACCCCTGGTTCCAATGCCCCTGCCCAGCCAGTCTTGCTAATCCCAATTCGGGATATAACACACCATCTAATTTCCGGCTGCAGTCTGTGGCTGTCCAGATGATAGTGAAATTAGATGAACTGGTTATACTGCAATGTCTCCAACTACAATTCACTGCTCTCTGAGCCTGAGCAATTTTCCATCACACTGAACTAAGTATCATAAAGATTCCTAACTAGTGGGGTGAGAAGGGCTTGCGGTTAAAATAAAAGCTGGGCCTCCTCATTGCTTTACTTCATTTAAAATTTGTTCTGAATTTCTAAAATCATTAGGGGGAGTTAGGGAATTCACATGTTTTGCAGAGGAGTGTAAAGGTAGGTCACATTTCCCTTCATGCATATCTCTTGTCAGAGATTAATACACAGGGAAAGGAGTTTGAATTCAGGCTTGCCTGACTACTTACCTCTCTTTTTAGCTTGTTTCAACCAGCCTCTTGTTGACTCGCTCCACTAAAATTGCTCTTTGAATGATCATCAATGGCCGTTTAGATACCAAATCTAATAATTCCCCCTCATTCTTTGTTCTCATCCTCTCATTTAAAATTGATGACTTTCTCTTCTTTCTTGAAGTTGTCTCTTTGTTCTGCATTTCTGCTCTTCCAAGTCTTCCCTCTAACTCCATTTCCTTCTCCTTTTCCCTAAAGTTATATCCCAATATCATCTTTGGTCATTTTTTTATAGTACTAGAGATTGAACCCATGGGCACTTTACTACTGAACTACAGCCTCAGTCCTTTTTTTTTTTTTTTTTAATTCTCGGCAGACACAACATCTTTGTTTGTATGTGGTGCTGAGGATCGGACCCAGGCCGCACGCATGCCAGGCGAGCACGCTACCGCTTGAGCCACATCCCCAGCCCCAGCCTCAGTCCTTTTAAAAATTTTATTTTGAGACAGAGAATCTAAGTTGCTGAGGCGGGACTTGAACTTGCAATCCTCTTGCCTCAACCTCCTCAGTCACTGTGATTATAGACCTGCATGCCTGCCCAACTTCCTTGGTCATCTTGTTGTCGTTTCTCTGCTCTTTCTTGGTCATTTCATTCAAACTCCTATTTTTCTATCTACTGGCATAATTTTGCAGGGCATCTGCAAATCATCTTGGCCTTGAGCTTTTCTTTCAAGGTCCCCGTTTCTAGCTGCCTCTGGGATGTCACTATTGGTTGCCTCCCTACTTTAAACTCAACATGCCTGCAAATGGACTCAAGTTTCTCCCCCTAGAGATTCTACATATTTTGTACATCTTGAGGAATGTAACACATGGCCACCAATGCAGTTCTGACAGTATGGTGGTGCTCAGGCCACTTCCCCGCTCAGAAAGCTCCAGTGGCTTCCTACAGCCCAAAGTAAAAAGTCCAACCCTATTGTCCAATAATGCCTTGCTCATAATCCCAACCCTTCTTTACAACCAAAATGTTTTCTCTTTTCCTCCCATGTAGCCTTCATAGCAGTTAGGCTCAACTTCTTATTGAGCTCCAAACGCTCCACTCCTTTTGGCTTCCTTCCTTGCCACCTAAGTTTAGAGTCCATCTTCCTAGAGTAGGCTCCTTTACTCTATTCCTGAATTTCCTAATCATTCTCATTCTTCAAAGCTCAGTTCCAATGTCACTTTCATAAAGCCATGAATGACTGCTCTGTCCTGCCCACCTAACTAGAAGTTACTTCTCTAGTCTCTGAGTTCTCATAGCTCTTTTTCAAACCTCCTTTTTATGAACCTAACATTCATCTATGTATGAAGTTATTTGTATGAGTGATAATAAATACCATTTTTCCCTTTCTCTTTCTGATGGTGGGGATCAAATGCAGAGACTTGTGTGTGGCAGGCAAGAGCTCTACCACTGAGCTACACCCCCAGCTCTCCTTTGTTCAAATCTTAATGCAATCTTGTTTAATTCTCCTGTTGATTTTATGAGTTGTACTATTATCCTCAATTTGCAAGTTAGGAAACTGAGGCACGGAGAGTTCATCCTTATCCAAGGGTAAGTAAGTGGGTTCAAATGATACAGATGCAGTCAGCCTCCAGAGTTCAGACTTCTAACTACTACTACATGAGACACTATTTTGGTTTATTAGACAGGAAGCTCCTGGATGGTAATAACCCTGATTCCTAATGCCATCCATTATACTTTAAAGAAGTTTTTGTTTGTAGGTTGTGTGGCACTGGGAACTGAACCCAGGGGCTTTTTATCATGGAATTACATCCCCAGCATCCCTTCTTTTTATTGTGAGAGTCTTGCTTTGTTGCCAAGGCAGGCCTTCAACTTGTGATCCTGCTGCCTCAGTCTCCCCAGTTGTTGGGATTATAGGTATGTGCCACCACACCCAGGTCACTTTAAAGTTCTGAGAAAAGGAAGAGAGTTCATTACAAATTCTTTTTTTTCTCCTTACTGAGTAAATTAGTGTCTTTTATATGGTATTTGCTGCAAATACTATAGCTCCATTGCCCCACCACTCTCCATCTCTTTTTGCCCTCATGCTCTCAGCCTGTGGAAAAGGGTATGTTCCAAGGAAGGGCAAAGGGGCCTCCCTCTTCCTAGTCTAAGAAATCTCAGGAGTTCTCTAGGGCAGTGTAGACTTCCTGAGTAACACTCAAGTGGCATCCCTCTTCAGCTAGCAAGTACTCTACATTTGTAACCTCAGCTTGTTCCAGGGAATGAACTTCTTGAAATAAACACAGAGGAACAGGACTTTTTATTATCTCCAGATGGGATTGTACAGGCTTGGAAGCTGTTGAAATATTTCTGCTCTGCCTGGATCAAATTTCTGTTATCTTCCCAAAGGGAACAAAGTTTCTTTCATTGAGAAATAGTAAATTTTGTCTTAACTAATTTAAACCAACTTAGATTAAATTCCACCAATAGACCCTCCAAAATCTAGATTTTTATGATGTGCTTTTTATTTAATTTTGTATCCTCCCCACCTGATTCACCTTTCCCTCCCCCTAGTATTGGGAATTGAACTCAGGGGTATTCTACCGTTAAGCTATATCCCCAACCATTTTCATTTTATTTTGAGACAGAGTCTTTCTAAATTGTTTAGGCTAGCCTTGAACTTGTGATCCTCTTCCTCAGGCTCTTGAGTTGCTGGAATTATAGGTGTGTGCCATCACATTTCTCTCCCTTTTAAAATCAGATTTTAGGCTGCATTGGCATGTGTGAGGACATATACACACAATTGTGAAATTGTTTTTGAATCATAAATCGAGGTTTAGTTGTTGTTTTTTAAAATAAGGATTAACCTGAAAGTGGAAATACAAGGCCTTTATTTTAATTCCGTTAGTGGCAGTCAGTTGAGCAACTTCCGCACAAAAGGAGTCCAATAAACATCTAATGAATGAACACCATAAATACTTATGATTTGGGGCTATAACAATATAAAATATAATTGAAAAATGATGGTGCCACCTATTGGTGATGATATAAAATGTAACCTTATCACAGACATGTCATTTCATGTTTCACAATCATTTGTTACTTATTCCCACAGAGATTCTAAGAGTAACTGAGGAGCTACAAGGAAGGCTTGAATCATGTGCATATGAGGGAGGCACCAATGTTTCAACTGGGTTGCTTTCTATTGGGTGCCTATTAAGCACTCAGCGCGTTGGAGGATGCCAGAGAATTGAAGACTGCCTTCAATCTCCTGCCTTCAAGGATCATCTTATCTACTTGGGAAGAGACCTACCTACTAAGAACTGTCAACCGATACAACCAAATAATTAACAGCCTGACATTAAAATATATGATGTTCATTCCATGTGTATGGGTATATTTTATGTACTGTATTATATGAAAACCATACTTTCTGAACCCACAGGACAGGAATAAGATTGTTTTGTGCACAATTTACCTCAGGCCTACTATACCACAGCACCTGGCACTTAGTAGGAAATTGATAAATACTATTGAATAACTGAATAAGTCAGGTATCATAGTAAAATATATGTGGCTTATAGAATACTTTAAATCAAGACTGGCAAAACAGATCAGAAAATATGTATAATCATAGGAAATCCTATAGAGCAAGTGAATCTTGAGTTAGATTCTGGAAAATTCCTTAAGGGACTTATAACCTAATAGATTGAAACCATCAGTGCAGAGAGACCTCTTGTACCCTTGGATTTGGTTTGAATTTGAGATTTTTGTGGTTTGCTGTGCTAACCCACGCTTTTCCCTCACACATGGACTGGATTTTTGCTCGAAGTCCAAAGCAAAAGAAGAGAAGAAGACAGATGGTGGATAGTTGCAAGAATGTATACATTAATTCTACTTGCGGAAGTTTTATGGGTGGGAATAATTCCTGAAGTAGGCAAGCAGCTTGTTTTCCTTCCTCCTACCCTCCAACCCAACTGTGTGCTCCAAAGTATTCCTAAAATATTTGGCAATAAGTACTACAAATCTTAAAAATCATTGTGTTTTGATTTAGTAATTTTCCTTCTAAAAGTATGTTAAGGAAATAACCAGAAATGTGAACAGAAACTTTTTGAAACAAAGAAAATATCACTATTCAGCATAAAAGCAGTTAAATTTTTAAAGTTTAATTAAATTAAGTTTTGATACAGATATAAGCCAATTCTTACATAATATTTAAAAATATGCCACAAAATTGTGTATGTATAGGTATCCCTGAATAGAATTATAGTTGTTTAAATTTTACTCTATTGTATAAAATTTATATCTTTGAGGGGTTGGGATTGTAGCTCAGTGGTAGGGTTCTTGCTGGCATATGCCAGGCTGGGTTTCATTTCCAGCACTGAAAAAAAAAAGTTTTTGAAATTTAGTGCATGTTCTGACTAACATTCCTCTGGTTGTGCCCTGCTTTCAATGTCTTTAACTAGTCCTTGATTAGACTATATTGCAACTTCATAGAGAAAAGATTAATATATAGAAAATTGATAATAATGCAAATGCTTCCTGTCCATAGCTATGATTTCTGTTTCTGTGATGCCAACACAAATTAATTTTGTCTAGTAGATAATATAAATCTTCATAAATCAAATTCCCATTGATTTTAGCATATTAGTGATTCCCTCATTAATTAATGTCTTAAATAAAAAATTCGATGTTTTCATTTTATATTTCTCTGTAGTAATAATTTTGCCTTATTTTGAAAATAATTCTTTAACACTAAGTATTTCTTATATTCTAAGAAATACCTATTGTTTTCTACCATAAATATGTTACTAATTTTAGTAAACTTTTTAAGTATAACATGCATGCAGAAAAGTATAGAAGTTTAAAGATTAATGCATTTCCACAAAAATCAACATACCATGTACCTAAGACCCAAATCAAGGAATAGAACCTATTGCCATCCCAAAGTGCTTTTGTGGCTCTTTCCTTGTCACTCTAACCACCTTCCTTTTTTAAACACTATCCTGCCTTGCAGCATCATGGATTCATAGTGTGTTCTCTTTTGTGTCTGGCTATCATGGCTATCATTAATGTATATGGTTACATAAAATTCTGTTCTTTCATTCCCTTTGCTTTGTAGTGTTCCATTATCTGAGTAGATCACATAATGTCCATTCTAATGCTGATAGACATTCAGATTGTTTCTGGTTTGGGGGCTATTGTTAGCTAATAAGCAAGGCAGGCACTTTTACATTTACAGAGGAGAAAACTGCCACTTCTTTAAAAGACTGTTAATGACCCTTCAAAGTTGTTTTTGTTGCAGCAAAAACTCTTGGAAAAACTTAGGAAGAACCAGCCAAGGTCACCCAGTCACACTGACTCACTCTTTTAGGCAACCTAGATTAAACTTGGCTCAGTCTATACTAAGCTAAGCATACTCAGAAACATTCCTGTCCAGTAATTTTTCCTTCTTAAACATGTGCTGTAGGACCTTGAACTGAGCATGCCCAGAACTGTTGTCCCCCACCACATGTACTTTCCTATATGAATATGTATAGATTCCCCAAACAAAATCCTCATGCTTCCTTTGTTTGGGGAGAGCACTGCTTTGCAGATAACCCCAGTGCTTTTCTTACTTGATGCAGGCAATAAACTATCTCCACTCTCTTACCTCCTGGTGTGCTTTTTGGCTTTGTACTCTGCTAGGAGCCATAGCCAAGTAGTAATGATGCATGGCATTTTTGGTTGAAAGGTAACGCCAGCAAGCCATTGAGATGATATGATTATGTTAAGATCTGCATTCAAATGGATATTAGACCCCTGCTGTCTGCCTAGGCCTGCTACTTTGGAGCTCTAGCGGGATTCCCGGAGAGTTCCCATTGGTTGGGGAAGTACGGTAGGAGGGATTTCCGGAGGAGGGATTTGTCTGTTGGGGTAGTGTGGCCCGGGAGAACGCCACGTGTGTGGTTTGGCATATTTCCCGGGAGAGTGCGTGGCATTGGCGGGAGTTTCAGAAATAAAGTTTGTTCCTGCTTGAGTGGCTCGTGATTTTGTGCCCAGCCAGACTGCAGCAGTACTCACCAAAAGCAAACCCATCACATTTGGTTACACTATTATGAATAATGCACCTATGAACACTTTGTACATTTTGTATCATTTTTGCTGACTCTACCATATGTTCATTTAGACTATGAAAGATAAACCTGAAATTTAAAAAATCAATTTCCTTTTTCTTTCTATGCAACATTCCATCAATATAAAATCCTTTCAATTAACAAGTTTTGAAATTTATATTCCAGATAATTAATCCTCATTCACACATTTTGTGAATTTTTATGATCTGATAATGAGATTAACAGCTAGTGGAGAAGTTTCCACCATAAGGAAATGTAGGGTAAGGAAGGGGAAGTAGATTTGGATTTGGTAGAAGGCAGTTAAGTGTCAGGCTTTAGGGATAGGATGTAGGAGAAGCAGCAGGAAGTGTAGATTACAGACTTTTCCATTCATTGAAGTCTTGGCTACATCTCTTTGAAAAGAATCATTATAATGATTGTTAACATGATTGATTGCTTTAAAAATAGTTTAGAGTTGGCAAAGCACTTTTCTATCCATGATTGCATTTGATCTGACTCTCACGAAGGGATTGGTATTTTCATATCTGTCCTTATTTTCAATGCTTAACACTTAAAATTGGACATCACAGTTAGACTGGTGGATTAGGACTCCAATTCTTCCCCACTGAGAGGGCAGGTTCCATAATCTAAGTACATCTAGTTCATTCTTTCCAGATCATTTTGGTAACTCTCCAGTTAATACTTATCTCAGAAGTAGTGAAAGGGAAGGAATAAAGAGGCAGAAGGAGCATAAAATATGCCCTCAATTACCTCTTTTATCATTAAAAATATTGTAAACTCTAAGAGACATGTCAAAATTCTACAATATTTGATTAAAGACCAAAAAAGTGGTGTAGAATGGCAGTATTTATATTTTGGCTTTCTGCGAGTGAAGAAGACAGTGGGATAGAGTGGACTAGGTGAGGGTGGTGTGGAGATTCAGGATAGATCCAACCCAGCAGGCTTGGTAGGGGTAGGGCTGGCACTGGAATTGCCAAGCACAATCCAAGCTGGAAGGAAATTTTAGTGTACCTAAGAGTTTTGGATAAAATGGTGCAATGGACAGAAGAAAGTTCTAGAGAAGATGTGTTGAGTTTGATAATGTGAATGTGATATCAGGGAAGGAGGTTGCTGTGGTGGCTTAGCAGCAAGTTTCAAATCTTGGAGGTGACAAAGAAAGAGGCCTAGGGAGGGGTGTTGTGAAGCATCTCAGTGAATCTGAAATATTTTCAGAGTTTTTATCTGGACCTGTGCTTTGGAATATTGTACAAATATTCCAAAGTTTGAGATCTTCTAAATTGTTTTCTCAGGGCCTACTACAAAACAGATGACAGGGGAAGTAGTTATGGTCTTCTATGGATGGTCAGGCAGAATGGAATTCACTTGGGAACCCCTGACAGGTACTTTCTTGTGTACTTTGCTTCAGTGCCCTGAGAAAGGATTAAGGCTGATCCATGCCAACTCTGCCAATGGACTCACTCCAGCTAGGCAAGCTTATTGTCTTTGATAGCTTCCAAGTGTGTGTTTTCTTAGAGATGGATTTCTTGAAAAAAAAAAAAAAAAGCTATTCTTGTTGCCAAGGTATTAATTTAACAAGTTGCAAAATGCTGAAGGAGAACATGAAGATGTTTCTAGGCTTCATACTGGGCAAGTGGCAACTATTTGACACTACTCCTACACTAAAAGGACCAACAACTATGCTATGGATATGTTACTTTTTATCCTTTCTTTCTTTTTTTTGGGGGGGTGGGGTGGGGTGGGGGGTGGGGGAGGAGGTGCTAGGGATTGAACCCAGGGGCGCTTGACCACTGAGCCACATCCCCAGCCCTATTTTGAATTTTATTTAGAGACAGGGCCTCATCAAGTGCTAAGCGCCTCACCATTGCTGAGGCTGGCTTTGAATTTATGACCTCTTGCCTCAGTCTACCAAGCCACTAGGATTGGTGACTCCGTGCTTGGGTTTTTTCTTTCTTAATACTGTTTTAAATCCTTTCTTACACATTAGGACGATAGCATACTCCTTATGTATGCCCAAAGGGAACCTCTCATTTAATTTGCAGAATAAACAGTATTATTTCCACTCTAAATATATAAAATTAAAAGAACATATTAGATTAAAGGTATTAAAACTGGGTCCCTTGCTTATAACTATGCATCTATCCAAGTGTCAATCTTCCACAGAGAACATACAGTCTTGCCCTTTTACTTAATACTGATTGGGACTATTAATCTCACAACCTGGTTAGGCTCCCAGGCTGGACAGATTTCTGCAGGGCTTGGTCCCCCTACAAGTGGGAAAGACTTAGCTGCTTCTTACCCCTTGTCTTCAAAAAGATCCAGAGGATCTGTTTTACCCACAGGCTTCTGAGAGAAATGACTGATTGTCTTTCAGGAATTCAGAGTTGTTGTTTGGGGGCAGCCCAACCCTGATTGCTCAATTTTGTAGGCAGAGTCACAGATTAATCATCCATATGTGAGTTCTTCTATACTATCTAAAGTTTCTTGGATGGTTTTTTAATTTATATGATAAAATTGTAGCCTATTTAACGTTTCTAATTCATGAAGCATTTATACAAGAAAAAAGAGAAAAACAATCGAGGGGCTAGTGACAAATACTATTTGGCACAGAGTGAGATTGAGTTTTGTATCTGGGTGAATAGTTGGTGCAAAATTGTGATGCTGTGGTGTTTTGTCACTAAAAAGTGCTCCATTTGGGACGGCAGAAGGAAACTGAGATTTGCTGGGTGTACACAGGCCAGAGGAAAGTACACTGAGAGCTGCAGCTACTGTTTCAACATGTTGTCTTTTTACTTCTCCCTTTAATGCAGTTTGAATCTGACTAATCAAAAAATCTGAAATCTGAAATGCTCCAAAATCTAAATTCTGGATTTCAGATTTTTTATTTAGGAATGTTCAACTGGTGAAGTTTGTACAAATATTCCAAAGTCTGAAAAATTGTGAAATCTGAAATACTTGTGGTCTCAAGCATTTTAGATGAGGGATACTCAACATAGAGTTTTCTTGTTACAAAAGGAACACTTCCTCATTATCCAAATAGAAAACTGATGACACAGAGAGAGTAAAAAACACCTCAATACTACCAAGGATTATTAATTTCTGCACTGGTTTTCCATCTCCTTGGGACTTAATTACTAAATTAAGAGGAGAATATAGGATGGGGATGTATTTTGGTGGTAGAGCTATGGTCTAAGATGTGCAAGGCCCTAGGTTCAAAAGAGAGCACTAAGAATCATCCTTTAAAATACCTCAAATCACTTAGTGTCAAAATAGAATGTTGTTTTGTGTGTTAAGCAATAAAGAAAAATTGTAATTATAAGCCATTTTATTTAATTATTAACAAACATTTACAACAAACAAAAAAGATTCTGTTAAGACTAGAGTCACATTCAGCATGAGCAGATATTTGAAATATGAAAAGCACATGGGGCCAGAAATGGATCATATTTACATCATTCCTTTCAGATTTATTTTTGGCTAAATTCATGTTAATTTAAGGGGAGGTAAAACATAACTCATCATACCATTTAAATGTCCTCTTTTGCTCTCCTGTTCTTTCTCTTTTTTTCCCTTCTTTTTCTCTTTCCCTTATTCTTTCTCATTTGCCTTTTATCCTTTCCAATTAATGCGAATCCTACTTAAGCTAAATGCAAAATAGTGTACTGCTACTGAATTCCTACTTTTGTATCTAGCCTTCAATAGCTTTTTCCTCCACACTGGGGATTAAACCCAGGTGCACTTTTAACACTGAGATGCAGCCCCAGCCCATTTTAATTTTTAAAATTAAATTTTAATTTTAATTTATATTTTAATTTAAATGTCTCACTAATAACTTTTTTAAAATTTTTTTAATATTTATTTTTCAAGTATCGGCCGACACAACATCTTTGTTTGTATGTGGTGCATGAGGATCGAACCTGGGCCGCACGCATGCCAGGCAAGTGCGCTACCACTTGAGCCACATCCCCAGCCCCCCTCACCAATAACTTTTAAAGTTTGAAAAATACATAGTCAGAATGAGAACATTCAAATACAGTAGTTGTCCCTTAACTGTGATTTTACTTCCTGATTAAATGGAAAGTTTCAAAAATAAAGAATTCACAAGTTTTTAGTAACTTTAGCATAGTATTATTATAATTGTTCTACTTTATAGTTATGTTGTTAACCTCTTACTGTGCCTAATTTATAAATTAAACTATCATAGTAGTTAATAATTTAATTAAAAAAGTTAATAATTTAAAAAATAATTTAAAAAAGGCACTAAATTTGTATATGCATGTGTATATAGGAATGAACATAGTATATAGTGTTTGGTACTATATGAGGTTTGGGGCATTTACTAAGGGTCTTGGGACATATCTTCTGCTGATAAGGGGGGAATATTATAGCACAAAAAGCTAAAATAAAAAGTAAAAATCTTTTTTCCCCATTCTTACTCCTCAGCATTCTTCCCACTTCCAGAGATGGAGTCAAGAACAAGAGATAGGGTGGGGTGAACTTAGGGGAATTTCTTTTTGCACTTTTATAATTATGTTCTTTGTGACTGTCTATATGTGTGTTTTAAATCATTTTAAAGGGATTTGGAGAGTAAGCGGGGATTTTTCCTTTCTTTTTATTTTATTTATTTTTTTTTTGTGGTGCTGGCGATTGAACCCAGGGCCTTATGCATGTGAGGCATTCTACCAATTGAGCTACATCCCCAGCCCTTAAAGAGGGATTTAAAAGTATGAATTGAATTTATCATCTTGAGCCCAAAGCCCTTTAAGAGCTTTCAGAAGAGCATGCATACACATATTTACTTTACTAAAAGGGAATCATTGAGCACATATTGATTGGTCATCTGTTTGTCCTTAATACATTTTAGATATCCTATCACATTAATAAACATTTACATATATATTAAATA